AAGGAGTGGGGGGGGGGGGATGTTGCCCCGGGCCCCACTTTTCCATGGGGCCCTCGAAGGAAATCGAACACGTATATGCGTCAAGTAGCAGGGGGGGGGGGGGGGGGGGCGACTGCCCCTCCTCTGACCAAGTTCGCAGTCTATTTTTTAAATGTAGAAAGCACATAAATTAATGCATAAATTAATATTAGTTCATGTGAAATAGATATTCAAGGTTTTTACCCCAAATGAATAAGGCGATAGGGCAGAGGGTGGTCGTAAATAGGGGAATGGGAACTAGGAAACAGGCCATGAAAAAATTCTGTATTCGCCACTGCCTGCAGCTACCGACGTCGATTTCCCGGAGAAAATTATTTAAAAAATGACACCCATATAATTCAATAGTAAGAAATTGGACAGCGGGCCCAGGTTCATTCCTTGCACCAGGCCCCATGCCAAACACGCAACGCCAGTGGAGCGATTGTGTTGAGAGCATGCTAAATTTCGTTCGTGCTTATACTCTCGGAGAGGAATACGAGACGGTTGAATTTTGTCGCCGGAAGGTGCTGAAGAAAGGTAATGGGCGCCACAGCTGCCTATGAACTCGGGGTCCGGCTTTCAGCAACCGTTCTGGCAGGTTCTTCCTGTTACCTGGTTTCACTGCTTCCTGCAAATATGGTATCTCGCGCTAACAGCCACCACCGTAATTAAATAGCGATGTGTATTGAAGGAATATAGAAAACTCGGCTAAACCGTCTTGTCCACTCAACAATTTTCTCGATGGGCATTTTTGTGGACGAGACACGAAGATTTTTACCTGTGCATTTTGGCTGCAGCTCGACAGAAAAATGCCCAAGTCAGTGTTCAACAGCAACAAATTACTTTTCACTTCAATTACTATTTTTTTGGTCACTGGAGTGGTATCGACGGGAAGGAACAAATGTAGACTTTTATTTCGCATCACGATATGTCTCCAGGCAAAGGGGAACAAGACAGTACCTTCGAAGGAAACAGGCACTAGTGTGGTCAACAACCGGGAAACAAACCTCGACTTTCTTTCGCTTCTCAAGTCAAGTCCATGGCGAAGGCTCTCCTGCTCGGCCACTCCATATCACAATTACACGAACACGGAATGCATATATCATCTATATCAATATATATAGCGATAATTTTTCTTTTCTCAACTCCACAATAATATCATGGACACAATGGATCGTGAGTCGGATACTAACAAAAAAAATCACTCGATACTGCTCGTTCAAGGTATTGTGAAAAATTGTACAAAAAAATGAAATGATATGATATGATGACATCCTGGCTGCTTCAGCAAAGACAGGCTTGAGATTGACACGGAGCAAGGAGAAAGGGAAAGACGGAGTCTATGTACAAGCAAACAATGGATAATGTACATGTTCTAATCAGTTGGGTAATGTACAGCGATCCGAGGCACTCGGGTGTGGTCTCCGCAGAGAAGGAGAATGAAAGAATCCATCACGTCAAATGTACTGAGAGATTCTTTAACTATGAAGAAATAAGCTGCAAATGCACATGCTCAAAAGAAAGTTAAGAGAAAATCAAGCAAGTTTTTGGAGGAAAAGAAGGAATTTACAACAGGTAAGAGAAAGCAATTACCTGGTGCACAACTGAATGCACATAGAGAATTATTCAAAGTCTATATTTTCTTTCAGATGAGGAAAATTCCTGCAAAAATTAATATTTTGTGCACTGACATAATGCAGCTCCAGTTAGCGATCGGAATACGGTTCATCGTATGGTGTCATCCATGAGACATGGGTCCTCCCACTCCCCTTAAGAGTAGAAGACGATGGGGGTGTATGCGTAGGGGTTTGGGGAGGGAAAGACCTGGGTAGGCACACTCATCACAGATGCCGGTATCACTCCGGCTCCATTTCCCGCTGCTACGCCGCCACACCCTCCTGGTGCCAGGTATCCCAGTGGCGTCACGTATAATCCACCTAAAATTGGCCAAACACCAGACAAGTCAATCACTGGCAGAAATGCTATGAAGTTCAGCAAAATTAATTTGCGCTTGTGCTGATCAAGCAGTGCTCATGTTACATAGTGAATTACATGTAGAGTTTACAAAAGTATGCACTCAGATTTTACACACCAATAAATTTTTTTGGTTCATAAAATTGTGTGAAAGCTGATCCAAGTTGACACTTCCAGGATGAAACATCACATGCTGAATTAACCCAGTCATTTTACAGCATATGAACTTTCAACTGGCAAAACAAAAAAGGTAACAGTATATTATTTGCCTTGTATCTCCATTCAATATCATTCAAGCCCCATGTTTTTCTGCACATGGTATCTCAGATCTCTTAGGCCTGCAGAGAAAACCCCAAAGAGAGCATTCATTTAAAATAAAGACCCAAAGCAAACCATACAACTTAAGGTGTCAAGACCAATTTATCCACAAAGACTTCCTGCTACAAACCATATTGGAGAGCATGAAAATGATAAACCTTATGATAAGTGTGCAGATTGCTTGCTCAAAGTAACTTTTACCATTACATCTCACCAATTGCTCAGAAAATTAATTGCAGTTGATGTAATGGGTAAAATTTTGCAGTTAACCAAGATGTAAGGAACAGAACATGGGCTCATACAATAGTGAACTGAAATTTAACAAAAACTGGCACTTTTCTTACAATAATAATGGGTAGGCATAGGATCCTAATAGACTGGCTTGTGGACCACACTTTCATCAAGTGCACAAGGCACTTCTACTAGTCTGACTTGTAGTGACTGACAGGAATAAAAAAAACACACAAGGTACAACAGACTTGGTGACCTGCATTATAAACACATCCATGGAGAATGTGCTTCAAAGGGCATTAAGAGAATCATGCAATTCTAACAGCTATGGAGAGAAGACAAGTCAGCATTCTTGAGAAGGAGCATGCAGCTTTTAAGCAAAGCTGGAGAAACATCAGTCATGTCTTTCATCAACGCAAAAAGTGCAGCTCAAGTCTAGAAAAAAATGTGCAGACCACCTAGGTGTTTAATATTAAGGCCATCTCAAAGAATGGCTACCAATAATTAACATGACAAAGAATTTCAATTGTCTCTTCCAATTTCCATTCAAATTCATGGTCATGCAAGTTTAAAGCAGGTCTGTGGTGAAAAAGACAAAAAAAAGCAATACCAAACAACAAAAGAAAGTGTTCCCAAATGGAGGAAATAAAGATTTTCAATTGCCCACCACCATAAGAAAGATTGAAATGAGTGGGGGAGTTACCTGAGAAAGGTGCCCAGGTGATACCCACGAGGAGGGTGCTCCCAGGGAATATTCTCACCAATTTGTTCCCGAACGCACAGAAAACAAAGCCCACCAATCATAATTGCTTCCCAGAACATAAACAAATGAAGCACACCGAAAGGAGAAACACCCAATTATGGCAAGAGGAAAAACTCAGCTTTATTGATATCTCTTGGATAATTCCTGAATAGAATATTGATGTACAACAGCAGTGCTATGACAACAATGCACCCCAAAAAGGTTTTCTTATTGGGAGAGGCAGAAACAATTCCCAAGGAGGAAAAGCAAAGAAAACAAACCCCAAAAAGGGAAAAGGAAACCCTGACAAGACCAAAAAAAAGGAACTGACAGCACAAAAAGAAAACCCTGACTGAAAGAACAAGAATGATGGTGACATGATCACCAACATTGTACACCTCTCTGAATAGTCTTCTGAATATAAGGCACTCTAAAAGAAAGTTAGACTCTCGATTCAGCAAATGGAATCAATTCTTGGTCTATACCCAGAGGGCTTGAAGGAATACTGGCCCCTTCTTTCGCATGCTCATGACTTTTATAGCTTTGAATTCGCAAAAACATAATATAAATGAGCACACAGGAAATTTGACAAGCATTCAGAGATCAAAAAGAGAAATACTGGCCTTTTTTCGCCCCACAAAGGCATGCACTCAAATTTATATCACAAACTTTACAGCTTACAAGTCACAGAGGAACATGTCTTCAATACTAGAACAAGGAATACGACAAGTAACTGGAGATCGAAAAAGGAAATGCTGGTATCTGTTCTTTTCTCTGAAAGGCACATACTCAACATATCACAAGGACTTTACAGCGAACACAACTGGCGGGAATCGCATTGGCACGAGGGTGCTCTCACCCTATCACAAGGACAAAATTCAATTCGAGGCCAATAAATTTGACAGGATCAACATTGATTGATACTGTTTTCATTGAGATGGAAATATTTTTGGAATGTTGAATGGGGAGAAATGGCTACTGCAATAACAATGTGCAAACAATTTTCAAACTTAGCTTGCTGCAATAGAGTGTGGACTGCATCTGAATAAATTGAGCACCTCCAAGACAAGAAATCTAAGGGGATGAGGGCACAGATCAAGAGGCTTCAAAAAGAATTCCCTTTAGATATCTTAAAAACAACAAGATAGTAAATAATGCCTCTTGCCTTGATTCCCTCAGCACCTGTTATTTCATATCACACTCAAAAGGCTACACTCAAAACTAGGATTCCAAGCTAATTTTAAATATATGAAGGCCCCCTTGGTATGATTGTCTGCAAAAGAAGGAAACCAATATGCTTCCAATTACAGGTAATCTGTGGTACACATACTGTATATAATTATTGTTGTCTACATACAACTACAGTATTTGGCTGAGGCACATGCTCTAGATTGCTCTAGTGAATTTGGTGGAGCACCAGAACATGTCTGGCAGAAATAGATATCAAGTGACAGAATATAGGTGGGTGGTGGTGTACTGCATGGTAAATACTGATTGACACCAAGAAGAATAACAGCTGAAGGTGAGATCCACTCACACTGTCATGGAGCAAGATACACAATTTTACAGAATGAACCACCATTACAACTAAATCCAGTCTATCTGAACTCATAAAAGCAAGAGAGGTCATATGTATCTAAGAAAAACCATAGGTAAACTCCTATGCATGAAATGAGATTTGGCACACCCTGTTAAGACCTTCTGCCACATTTCTATGCAATTGAAACATGGTCATGGGAAATGCTTGGCACCTACACCATGTGCAGACTGTAAAAAAAATTCCTGTACAAGGGAACAAAAAGATGATCAATTATCTCTACTGGAATGTCCAATTGTCTGTGTAAAGCCAAGGATATGGGGAGTGGAAGGAATCCCTGACTTGCAGAAAGAGGGATGAGAATGACTTCCAGTTGCACTCATTCATACACACTTCGATGACCAGATCACAGCATGCAAGTCTGAATTCCCAAAAGCAGTCTCTTACTGATACAATGCTGCATGCCAGCCGTTGGTCTTCAGCACAATGGTTTCTGAATCCAGAGACTGGAATATTGCAGACAGACTTGCAAGCATAACAATAAATTCACTTCAGTACCAAAATATATGGGTGGGAATGGTTTGAGCACATGATGAGGAGCAAAATAGGTAACCCCAGAAAGAAAAAAAGAAAAGAAATAACAGAAACCTCTGACAGAACCCAGGTGAATTCGGGAATGTATTGCAAAGACATCACAGACATGGAAGGACAGGTGCCACTCCCATCATGCGCACCCTCCAACAACCCCATTTACTGAGCATAATTTTCTTTGGTGCCCATAGTCTCATGCTTCATGTCGACAGGATGTAACATCAGGGCCCGTTTGGCCTCTGGCTGCTGATACGGAGAACCGGCAAAAGCCTGGTCATAAGAACGTTTTGGGAGCACATTGGTTGCCAGGGATGCTGTTGCTGGTGATGCAAGCAACCCAAACGGCAAGAGAGGATGCCGAAAGGGTGGAGCCAGGACCTGGGGAGCCACAGTCGGTTGGGGCAGATACCCAACCGACGGGAACCCAAGCAAAGACAACCCATAAGCAGCAGCTGCGGCAGCCATTGCAGCTGAATTCGGAACCGTGGCAGCAGCGGGCAAATGCGAAAACGGAAATGCAGACAACATACCAGGGGAAAGAAGGGCTCCTGAAGTGGGCGGGTGAGGTGGGGGAGCGGGTGGAGCAGGAGCAGCTGCCGGCGGGGATGGGGTACAACTGGTGGGGATGGCAGCTGCAGCAGCTGCAGCTGCTGCTGCAGCTGCCAACTGAAGACTCGCGGCTGAACCTCCATTGATGCACACTTGCATGTCCCGCCCAGAGCACTGGAATACTTCAATGTAGCGCTCTTTCTTCCCCACAGTCATGTTCTTGTGATGCAAGGCGCTGGCAGCTGCAAATGCACTTTGCTCACTCACCATGCGCACGAATGCTTCCCCGCTTGGCTTCCGCTGCAAGGAAGAAGTGGGTAAGGTTTGGTAATTGACAAACTAAAAAAAGTATTTGAAGGTATATAAAAGCATTCACATACCAATGACTTTTCTGTCCTTGGCAAGTAATTTATGCATAATTATGATGCCAGTATATCAAATCACACTTAGAAAATAATGGGCGACATGCACCATCTGTTTCCGAATGTGTTTAACTAAACTAATCTGATCTCACAATGGTACCCTATGGGAATCAGTTTAACAGAGATAAACTTATTCCCATAGACGCCCAATATGAAAATGAAAAGTTGAACGAATCTGGTGCATGTCACCCCAATATACAGTAGAAGTTATTTGGTCAATTGGGCTAGCACGGATATTTCAAAAACCAAAAGAAAAATACAGCCTGTGAAGACACATGAAGAGCAAGGACATGAGGAATGTTATCTTAAGAGGATAAATTCATGAGGGCCAAGGCCACTCAGATAGGTTCAAGTATGTATCAATAACAGCCATGAAGTCTATTGGTACTTGCTCACAGAACCAACCTCTGAATTATAGACGAGATGGACACCTTGAAAGGCAATATTTTTGGCATGCACTTCCAGAAAGTCCAAAATGTGTCCAACTTGGGCTTCATATGGAAGGCCTCTCAATCGCAGCCAGTCCTTCTGTGTCCCTATCAGGAGCTGATGGGGAAGGAGACCTGCAAAGGCAGGGATGCTTGGGTCCATCTGCAGTGGGTCAAGCGGACGCTGATTCAGCAACTGCAAATGCAAATTTCCAATAATTAAAATCAAACAAACGAGATATCAAATCTCTTGATCCATGTGACAAGATATCCTTGATTGTTGGAAAACATGTCACCTGTGAAAATCTCACCCAAACAGCTGCCATGATGGGATTTCTATGTCATGCCCTCAGATAGACCACATTAAAAGGCAGAGACTGTACACAATTTCTCACAGAACTTGTAGATCAGGCATGATGAAAAGTCATTTTATAATAGTGTGTTTCAATGTGGCAAGATTGATATAGATCACAGATGACACTTTCAGCACTTCAATCACAGTCAAATAATACAGATTTGCAAAGCAGAAAGAGCACCTTCAAAATGCTGACTTTAGCCTTATGCCTTTAGCTGGTGCAATAGGGAACAATGTGAATATATTGCACAATGCAGAGATCAAGGGTGCCTCTTGGTAAGTCCAAAGAAATAACTGCTTTGTCAAATTTTTTCTTGGAAAATTCACATCAAGTGCTGTCAGCACTCAGGAGACAAAATCACAGACATGCAGGGAAACCTAGAGGCCATCAAAAATTAAAAAAATCAGGAGTTATATCACAGATGACTTAGCTTGAGGTCTGCAGAGGATGAATAGTGGCCTTACAGGCTTTGCCCTTCCCATTAATTTCTTTTTGCCAAAACCATGACCACTTTTGAGCTGGCACAGTTGGCCTCTTGAAAACAAATATGAGCTGTATAAACATGGACTGAGTGCAGTATTAACTAGATGTCTCAAGTTGAGACAACACTGAAGTAGGCTTTAGCAGGGCTTTCCAAACATAATGGAATGATTCTGGAATAAGTCACCGTAAAGGTATTCCAATTCCAAATTTACTTTCATTCAATATTCTTTGCAAAACCTATATGAAGAGCTTCTTATGGATTCAAGCTTTAATAAAAGAGGAAAGAAAGAACAAAAAGATTATCAGGAAAGGAACGTGGGTGCTACAGAACTACCCTATTGAAACACACCTTTCAATAGGGTAGTTCAACCTTTCCAGTATAATTCTAACAAATTTGTTATATTTATGTTTATTTGGTCTTCTACGCACCTCTAAAAAGGATGTCATATCCTTGAAGGAATAAGTCTGAAGAGAACAAATAATGAGAAAGGCTTTGTCAATCATAGCACTAGCACTAATGGCCTTGCTCTCCTAGTGACAATAAGTTGGCAAGAAGCCACCTGACCATTGACCTCCCATGCATAGGCCAGACTGGCTTGTCACCTACAAAAGCCATATTTTGGGTGGCAAAAAAGAAAGATGACCCATGGAATGCTTAATGAAACAAACAGATTGGAAATTCTAGGATTATAATTTTCATGCATCACATTGGAAACAGTGAATTTTTTTTCCTGAAGCATCGGAGTCATCTGAATGAAAAGTGGCAGACATCAAAGTCATGAAAATAAACACTTCACTCATGCAGTGGATGTAGTCTCAGCACTGCTCAAAAGACTTCCTCCTTAAATGCCAAATATGCTACTTTCTGTGCTGTGTTCTCACCATCATTTTCTTCATTGAGTAGGGTCTTGAGGCCTCAGGTGAAAAGTCCTGAACTTTAAATAGCATGTTTAGAAAGTACCAACAACTGGAGAGGGAAGAGAATAGCGGTAACTTCCTATCAGGCTGTGGACTCGGTCCTACATTGTCTCTTCCTTTTCCAACCCTGCCTTTAGAAAGGCCAGTTTAATGCAGTGATCTTTCCTTTGAAAGATAAGATATGGCACTTCATAGTAAAGAATGCAGCCATGAATAGCAGGGTTTTAAGCAACAAAAGGGACATGCAATGCCGAAACAGTTCCTTCCCAACGAGTGGAAAAGCTGAAATCTCTCATTAAAGTTTAGACAGCTGCTGCACTTCAAAGGAACTACCTCATGACTATCTATCATGCTATCATCAAACAAATCTCACGAGTGTTTTCACAAGATACAGATATAGACAAATCTACCATTTCGAAAGTGGGTTTCAGAAAGCCTCAAAAAGGAAGCTTTTTTAGGCCACCTCAATGTCCCCAAGGAGCCAAACTTATCATATCGTACAATGGAGCAAATGTCAGTTCTGCTGGTAATGGTTGGCCCACATAAAATAATAGCTTCTATTTCATAAGGGTTTACAATATTTTCTGAAATTTCAGAAACAGGGTGTCCAAATATGTTCACTTGAAAAAATGATAAGTGACTCTTTGAGCAACATTGGTTACTTTGGAGGCAGATTACAAGGGATTTAGACATTGACTATGGAACTCAAAAATTTAGGCCTTCCAATTCACTTCATTTATGTACAAGTTCATGAAATAAAAATACTGAAATAAAGCAAACTTTGACATTTAAGTTGCTGTTGATTTGTTGAGATAGATGTTCCTAAGGTCACATAAACAATGTGCATACAAGTGCACCATATCATATTTCTTGTCAAGATGAATTCCAAGAGGCTTTGTGGTGATTCGTGTCCATTGCCACATAGATACTAGTTTTATATCATTTATGCTCTTGATATTCTGGTTTCATACCTTTAGTTTTGCATCATTCAAAGATAACACTGCAAAAAATTATGAAGCCTTTAACCTTCTGTTGGAGTTTAAGCTCTCACTGAAATCTCTCTGCATTGACAAAAGGCAACTAGCATCAGATAAAATGACCTTCCAGCAACCTTGAACAGCACTGAATGCATTGACAAACAGGGAAGAAAAGGGACCCAAGAAACCAGGAAACTTCCCCCCCCCTAAACATGCAATTTCTCCAATATTAAGACCTTGAAAGATTAGTAGACTTGTAAATTGTAGTGCATCTCAAGTGATCTTCAAAACACAAGGGTATTCTATTAACACTAGACATTTCTTACTTCTGCCTAGGAATAGCATGGTTTAGAGTATCAAAAACTTTTGGACAATCATAAACAGATCTCCAAAGAGATGTTCATCAAATGCAGAATAACAGGAAAACTTGCCAAACACAATTGTAAAATAATGATGTCCATTCATGCCAATGTCCAGCCATGAAACAATGTCCCCAGCAATGTTTCCATTCATTATAGGGGTATGTGAATGAAAAATTTGGCTATTGTACGTCTTGTGAACACCATGTACACCCTGTGTACACCCATCCGTTAAGCCCAGTCTTCACCTTGTGACTATAGCCATGTACTAACTAAGTATAAAGCATGGGTGGAGGAGGCCTAGA